AGAGTTGGATAAAGCAGTGTCTTGTGGGACTGGAAGCACGGCTGTTAGAGCTTGCCTTGCTGGGCTGTCCAAAATACAGGCACAGACAGAGTCACCTGCTGGTCCTTGACCTCCCAGCCTGGGCTTGCTGAAATCAGTGTGTCCTGTCCAGCTGGCAGCTCTTCAGGGGTTTCTCAGTTTGTGGGTTGGTTGGTTGCTTATTTTTCTTCAATAGGGCTGTATGTCAACAACACATGTGTTCACAAAACTCTGTATTCTGGGAAACACAGGGCAGGCTCTGCTTCATGTGCCCTAAGGCTCAAAGGGCAGATGCCCAGAGGAGGCCCTTAAGAGCCTCCAGGTGTATGGCGAGGTGGGGGATGAGTGTAGGAAATCCTGAGCTCGATGGGTAGCTCCTGCTTAGCCTTATACGGCAACATGCAAGTAGAACTGGCTATAAACTCCTCTGGTAAAATGATGGCAACCTGTACAGAGATGTAAATGCGTGTTGCATGGAAAGGGCTTTAGTCCTGAGGCTCACTTTTCATTTAAATGTTGGCTCAGGTTTTACTAAACAGTGAATGAGAGCTTGTTTGCCAAACAGTACCATATATTAACCTTTTTTTAAACAAAAATTTGGAGATATTCAATATAACTTTAAAGGTAAGGCTTTACTTCATGCAGAACTCCAGGAATATCAGCACAGATGTGCTTTCATTTGCAGCACTACTGCGTTTGGGTGTTGTCACTAAATAACTGCACTTCACTTTGGTCTGACTTTGTGATGTAGCAACATCCTTTCAGTGTTGGACTCCCTGCCTTGTTTGTTTGCACTGCTGGGACGTGAGTAGCTGTCAAGCTGATGTACCTGCTGCTCTGTAACTTGACCGCCTGCTCTGTTTGGATCCCTCAGAACCTCACAAGTTACGATGTCTGCAGCATTTTACTGGGAACATCGACTTTGTTTGTCTGGGTTGGAGTCATCAGATACCTGGGATATTTCCAAACCTACAATGTAAGACAGGAATCAAATATTCATAATTAAAGTATATATTTGTCACTCTTTCTCAGTTCTCTAACTTGTGGCTTTTTCCCCCTTCCCTTTTCTTCCACCCTGACATACAGGTGCTCATTTTAACTATGCAGGCATCATTGCCCAAAGTGCTCAGGTTTTGTTGTTGTGCTGGGATGATTTATCTTGGCTATACTTTCTGTGGTTGGATTGTTCTGGGACCTTATCATGAAAAGGTATGTACTCCTCTTCTGGCCTAATGATGTGTGAATATCTTTGTGTGTATAGGTCCTAGCTATAACAACAGAAATAGGTCTTAAATTCATGTTTTTATTTAAAAGTGGTAACATGGAGAACACGGGAGTGTTTCTCCTTCCCTGTGTACGGCCTGCTCCATTTAACCAGGTAACTGTATTCCTGCTTTCACTGCTTGACCTCGGTGTAATCTCAAACACAGGCTGTGATTGTGAGGGGTGGATTCATCCAGGCAGTGTCTGGCTGGGGGATAGAGGTAAATTATTGGTTTGTCTCGTTCGCCCTCTTCTGGCAATCCCAGTTCAGTTGGGTTAAGGAGGCACTGGTTCACCGTTACCGTTTCTGGGGATCTCTTTGACTTCATTTTTCCAAATCTTCCCTGTGCCATTTAACTTTGGTTCCTAAATCCTGACTCATAAACGAGCGGATGAATGCTTGTCTTGTTTCCTTTTCTTCCTGTGTGTGGTGCGTTGTGGGGTTTTCTTGTTTGTTTTGTTTGTGTGGTTTTTTTGGTGGTTGTTTTGTTGGTGTTTTTTTAAGGTTGATATTGAAGTGTGTACCTGATACATGGTCTGAAACCTGGGTACAGCAGTAAGGCTTTGTATTTTCCAAAACACAAGCAAAAACAACTGCAAAGCTGGTTGCTTTGGGGTTTTTTTCCTGGCAGATGGTCTCTATGACAGTTTGAAAAAAGGCAGATGTGGGTTGTGATAAATTCTAGATGCCCATTAGTCAGTAACGATGTTTATTTTGATTTCTGGTTACACATAGTATATATTGTAACAGACATGGGCTGCCGTGCTTGTTTCCGCTCCTTGCACCCCCAGAACTCAGATTCCTCTAACGTGTTGTAATTATGTCCTTTAGGAAATGTAGGTATTCAATTTGTGCATATTTTAAGTTGATGACAACGCATTTCTCCATGGAGTGCGGGGTTACTGTAGGCTCCTCTCTCATGCTAGAGGCTCAGTATATTATAATAGTCACAGTGTAAATACTTTTTGTAACCTCCCTGCGGCAAGTATGTTAATTATCTGAGCAAAAAGAAACGTAGCCAATGATGTGCTTATCTATGACAACGTTACCTCTTGCTAAACATCACAGACCAGTGTCAGGGAAAGCCCCCGTGGCTGTGTCGGGGGGCTCCTGTTTCGGGCAGTTCCTCCGCACCCCGCTGGAGGGCAGTGTGGCCCTGCGCGGCGCCGACCGGGCACGCCGGGCGTCCCGCGGGCCTTCCCCGGTGAGAAAGGGGATGTGCCTTCCCTGCGCTGCCGTCACACGGGAGAGCGGCAGGGACACGGAAAGATGAACGTTAGTTTTCCTTCCTCTGCTACCGCCAGAGAGGGTGGGAATCGTGCATTTTGTGTTGTCAGCCCTAGGGGCTTACAGGTGAGCAGTGCTTAGCAAGGCTCTTTCTGTGCCAGTGCATCAAAACTTGGGGATTGCTCAAGAAGTACCCATTCCATGCTCCCTTTCTTCCCAGATAATGCACTGCTGGGTCTGATAATGATTTTAATAATAATAACAACAATAATAATAATAGTGGTAGTAGTAGTGGTAATAATAGTATTAATAATAATAATTTTTAAAAAGCCATAGGTAAAACCAGACCTGCTGTTCTGTGCGACAGTGTGTTCTTACAAGCATGTGCCTCTTGACAACTTGTCTTAATACAGGATTGCCATTCCAGTGAGTGTAGTCATGTTACTTCATTGATAATAGCTATATTAAAACATTGTGCATTAACTCACATTGTCCAATAAAGTACAGTTAATGAATGCAGTTATTTGGAAGGGCAGAGCGAGGGAGAAAGTGTGCTTACCTGGTTGTTGAATAGAATTTAGCCTCAGGGCATGTTCCAGCTTGGAGAAATGGAGTTAAGGATTTAAGAGGGTGTCCTTCAAATGAAACCATTATTTTGTCCAGGGTGTGCTTAGTAGCTTCGCAGTACAGCTATGGCTTGTACCTACAGCTCAGAGGGCTCTCTGAATGACAGATGATGTTACTGCAAGAGAAATCCAATTTAGACCATTCAAATTCTGAAGGCTATATGCTATCTCTAACTTCTTAATACAATATGGGTTAATTACCTGTATTCCAGTAATGCGGCAGAGCTGTGAAACCAGAGGATGTGGATTCTGTTCCCAGCTTACCCTCCCCAATTTACTGTGTAGATTCTGTGAAATCACTTTATCTGTGTTTTAGCAAAGGGAAGGATATTTTCCTGCAAGCCTAAAATGGCTTAAAACTTAAACTTTCTGTTCTGATAAGTTAGTGACGGTTTTGCCTGCTGAGCATCACAAGTTTATTTCTCGATTAAAAATCTTATTTCTGATGTCCATGCTTAGTCAAGTTTATACTTCTACATGTGTGATGTGTGTATTTCGGTCTGAATGTACAGGAAAGATGTGGTAGCATTTGACTGACTGGGTTGGCTTTATAAAGCCATATATTACTTATTTTTATAACACTTTTCCCTTTCCCTTTAATCTGGATGATTGCTCTTCACATTCTGTTAATAATTTGTACTCATTATTTTCTAGTTTGAAGATCTGAACACAGTGGCGGAGTGTCTGTTTTCTTTGGTCAACGGTGATGATATGTTCGCAACATTTGCTCAGATCCAGCAGAAGAGCACGCTGGTGTGGAACTTCAGTCGGTTATACCTGTACTCCTTCATTAGTATGTTTATTTACATGATCCTCAGCCTCTTCATTGCACTCATTACTGACTCCTATGACACCATAAAGGTAAAACATTTTTCTGTTCCACTTCTAATCAGTTTTGTATTAATTCTTGTTAATCATTCAACATCAAACTATCTAGCATTAATTATGATAACTGGTGGAAACTATTAACATCTTCTGTGGTGAAACTGGGACGATGACTGGATAGTCATCTAAATGACTAAGCAATAATTAGTTTGGAAAATCATCCTTGTGCGTGTACCTCTTCTGTATTGCTTGTTGCTTCCCCTGGCTTCAGAAAGGTAACAACTAATGGAAATGTAAGTGGAAGGATGAGTGGGAACAGTCGATTTTTAAGGGCAGTTATGGAGCACTGGAGAAGTCTTGTTTGGAGTGAATGCTGCTTCTCATGGCACCAAACTGTGGTCAAGAAGGGTTTGCTGGCGTCTCAGAGAATATTCCCTTGGCAGGAGTGTGGGAAGAGCAAAGAGAGCTCAAACTCATTTAGGTGTCCAGGCTTGCTTAATGTGCTGCTTGGAAACGTGTGGTTAGAGGGAAATGTGTTCTGAAAGACCCACTGCTTCTCGTTCAAGTTAAAATTGTGCCATCCATTTCCAGTATAAACTGGCTGAAAGTGAAATGAAGTTTTCAGTAATTACCTTTTGTTCTTGCCCTCCAGTGTTGTCTCTCCATGTTCCTGATAGCTGCAGTAAATAGTGGGAAGGCAACGTGGATTTTTCTTTCTAGCTCTTGTCCTTGTCTTAGTGTCAGAGAAATGGGCCAGCAGAGTAAGGCAGGTCTGACACGAGCCACAGCTCTCAGACCCAGCACGAGCTCTGCTTTCTAAGCATCTCAAAATACAAATTAGCACGACATGGTCTGACCTGCAAGATGGTGTTTTACTGCTGCTCTTCCCTCCGAGCACTTGTGGGTCAATGGGGAGCCATTGCAGTGTGCTGAGCTGGTGCTTTGCAGAGCATGGCAATGACTGATATCCTCATTAGGGCCCTTCAAATCTAGCATTGGGGTTCCAAGGGAAAATGAGCCCAGGGCTCTCGTGGTGAGCAGAGCAGCTGATGTGAACAGGGAGGAATCAATGGCAGGATGACTCAAGATCATTTGCGTGGTCTTATGGACAGCTAACAAAGTGTAAGAGAATCTCTGAATAATATGGATTTTATGTCACTTAAATTGCTTTGTTCCACCAACTGCACATGTTGTTTGTAGGACAGAGTTGTGGTGTTTTTTTTCTACCTACAGCAATACTGAACAAATGAACCAAGTAGTCCTTTTGGCTATCACATTCTAGAGGAGATTTTCGAATACTTCATGCCCAGTAACTTCTTGTATGTTGTAAATAAAATGCTTTGTCTTTCAGAAATACCAACAAAGTGGGTTTCCAGTAACAGATCTACATGAATTTCTAAAAGACCATGGCAGTGTGGGTTACAGAAAAGAACGGACCTCTGTGCCATTCATCTGCTGCTGCAGGAGGTCAGTAGGGTGCTCTTAAGTGGTTTTCTTAGACGTACACCAGCACTCAACTGGTGTAACAAGTACTACTTTGGCAGTAGGATACTTGTCTACTTACGTACTGAGGCTTTTGTGAAATGCAGCTTTGCAGTTTTGATGTATTCTGGCAGAGGGAAACCTCATAGCCAAAAAGGAGCATGTGAGATGCTGGTGGGCAGGAGTCCCTGGAGCTGCTGTGGGCACCTGAAAGCCAAACAGTTAATGAGAACTGCAGCCAGGTACAGCTTCAGGTTTCACATCCAAGTCATTGTGCAGATTAAAAGGTTTGTTTTTTCTGCTTGAGCATTATAAATATGCTTTATTGTAATACTCCACAGGGCACTGAGGGCACAAGTCTGGTAGCTGGAGTGCAGATCTAGAACGTTTGCTTCTATAGCAGCTTCGGCTTCATTGTCCTAGTGCAGGTGCTGGAGCTGGAAGGGAACAGCACGGAACAGAAGGCTCAAAATGCAGCTTGGTTTTGTATGGGCAAATGCTTCCTATCGGAGTTCTTGACAAACGAAAAATTGTGGTTTTTTTTTTTTTCTTTTGCAGACGACAGAGTGATGACAACCTGATAATTATTAATTGATGATTACGCATTGAAATTCACCACTAATACATGTGAAGAAACTGTAGCTGTATGGAAAAGAATAACTCTCCCAATTGCAATGAAACCCAGTATCTGGACCTGCCTTGCTGTGAGCTCTTACCGAATTGAGGTGTCGGGGGAAGGAAAGCTGCTAACGTGGCATCGCTGGCGGACCAGGAGGAGAGCCCAGAAGCTGTGTCAGGAGGGGAGCTGTGAAGATCTCTGCGGTCGTGCCCCCAGTTCTGTCACATTAAAGAAGGCTGATCCTCGAGCAGTGTCCATGGGAGCTCTGTTTGCGAATCACCTCTAGGAGGAAGGAAAGTGGCCCTGAACCAACTGCTGTCCTTAATAAGAAAAGGAATTAGATGAAAATAATTTTTTAAAAGATAACTTAATGTTAACAAGTATTAAATAAAAGGTAGTCAAGGAGAAGGGAGGAGTTTTTCACTTAAAGTGATTAATTCAGCCTGTAATTTCTGCTTGGCACAGTTAATTTCCTTGAAATAAACTTATGTAAAACTACAAAGCTGCACAAAAGTGCAAAATAATGGCTTTTCTCCCTCTTCTATATCATTTTAACACAAGCCATTTATAGATTGGTCTCTTCTTTAACAGCTTTACTGAAAACAAAACCAGTTTGTTATCCCTTTTTTTGGCTGTGAGTCTTTTCTATTATACCCACAATATTTGATGTGTGTGGTGTCCAAATTAAGCTTACAACTTTAGCCTATAGGTAAATACCTTTTTGCGTGGTTGGAAACTTCCATGGCAGGCATCATGTGAAGGATGATGAAAAGACTATTGCTTGGTTTTCGAGTATTGCGCTGTTTGTGTTGCCGTAACCTGGAGGACAGATTCAGGCTAAAACAATGCCACGGTGTTGACTTGCCTAATTGCTTCTATTTCGAGCACGTGTTAATTGGAGGGAAATTTGTAACCACTGAGCCTGGTGGCTGGTTTGCTCAGGTGATATTCTAAGTGTCTTTGGGATGGCCATCTGCAAAGCACTGTGTTTTTCCTGTTATTTATAAACCTTTTTCAATGAGCACAGAGCGCTATCTGTAGCGTTAGAGCACCTCCAGTTTGGTACTGCATAGGTGTTCCCAGGTGCTTCTGGAAACTTCCAGTGGTAACAACTGTTCCTGGGGCGGGCGGACTGTTTATATTGGATGCTTCACTTTGGATGGGGCTGTCTGCTCCCTAAAAGCAAATTGTCCGTAGCAGATGATGCTCACTTCAGACTCTGCTGGCTATACTTGGTCTTGACATGTGTTCTGAGCTGTTAATGATGGATTCTGCAAGTTCTGGCTTGTTTGTGTTTCAAATGGCAAAGGTGATCTGAAATGCTGCCCTTCTGTGAGTAAGGTGAGCAGCAGCTTAGTTTGGGGTAAGAAGTAAATGACACTGGTAAAACTTAACCAAAATCCTGACATATTGAAAGCTGTAGAGGACTCTTCAAAATGCTTCATTCCTCCTTGGAATCTGACATGAAGAAGGGTCTCATAGGAGTCAGGAGTCTTGCATAGCAGATAACCATAAAGTAGGAAAATGGTGGTCAAAGCAAGTAGAACTTGGAAAATTCGTGCTCTGTTGCCAGGGAGTCGGGAGAACAAAAACTCAACTGTTGAAAAAGGAAGGGCTTGCTAAGAGCATTGTCCAAAGTGTGTATTCTTGTTAATAGAACTGCAACTTTTTATCTGAATCCCTAGATATAAAAGCCTGACTTGCTGCCTGTGAGCAAAGGCATTAAAAGTTCACAGTGCCATCTCACCGAGACCTTCAGGATACCCATGAAGCCTGCAGATGGAGAAGAGTCCAAAGCAGCCATAAACGTCAGCAGCAGTCACCACTGAGCTGTGAAGATGCAGTGTTTGGTCGTAGGGTAGACTGGCCTGAACCTGACATGAAAGGCAGGAGAGAAAATAATTGATTCTTGGATTAAATGTGAATAAATACTTTCCTAAACAACAGCAGAAAACCAGATGAGATGTCTTGGTAATTTCTTCCAGTGCTGGATTCAGACCATGTTTTGGTAGGTTGAAAAGCATTTCTTTAGTAGGTCTGTCTTCATTCTCTGCCTGTCATCTGGGATGCTCAAAGAAGAGGTACTGATAACTGCAGTGTTTCTGGCCATGGGGTAAGAGCAGGGGTGACGGAGATGTGCCATCATTCAAATCTTTCCCTCCTAGTATTTGCCTTCTTGATGAGTACTTTTTCTGTTTGAAGCTAATGCCACTTTACACACAAGCACGCTTGTGTTGCTTGGGCTACACAAGATGTCTAGAAGAGATGGTCTTCATGTGAGCATTTCTATGTGTTTTAGGCTCTGCATGTTTTAGTGTTTCAGCATGTTTGCTGAAATGGGATCTTCTCCCTGTCCCAGTCAGAGGAATGCCCACTGTGGCCTCAGCTGTCACCACAGCTTGTGGATAAACGTTCAAGAACCAGTAACTAAAACTTCACACTCTTAGCAGATATTTTCTGTAATTGTCTTTTCACCAAACAGATGTGAATTGTGTCATCTAGAACAGGGGGTTGCTGTGTTCCACGCAGGACAGAAGAGTCAGGTTTTCATGCACAGAACTTTTTGGGCTCAGTGTTGGTTTTTTTTTAGTCTGCTTTGGGGCCCTGGGTGATCCAAGTGCTCTTGTGTAGACTGCAGAGGTGATCAGCATTAACTGATTGCTGGCAGAGTTTCTTGGCCCACAGAGTGGCCAGTCTTGACTGTTATGTGCAAGATGCTGGTGTTTTTTGTATTTGCTAGTATTTTACTGGTAGCTTGCTGGAATGTCTCTTTCTAAATCAAAGACTTCCCTAGTAAACAGGACCAAAATCCAGCACATCTGAAACTGAGCTGTATTTTTCTTACCTACCTTCTGCCATTACAGAAATCTTAGGTTGGAGATTTGAACATAGAGCGGATAATGCTATGTTAGTGGATAATTAATCATAGAATGTGTTCAAGTATGTGTTGTCCAGGTTGGGCATACATATATATTGGGCAGTACGTGCTTTCAAGGGCTCTTGCCCGAGTGTGAGTTTTCCATCTCTTGTGCATGTGGGATGTTGTTATTGCCGATGGCCATGGAATGCCAACACTTGACTGCAGCAGGGCAAGTCCTTGGGCTGGGATTTGTTTTTTATGGCTCTAATGTTTTTGCTGTGCTCTCTGAGGTAGGCTGGCCTGTTGTGAAGTACTTTGTTTTATGAACGGTGTGACAGGCTCCTCACCTTCTGAGGTCTGGTGCCTCTCTTCCCTAAAGCAGGCGAGGTGAATCCCTTACCCTTGGCGCTGTGAGCCGTGGTGCAGAGCCCTTAGGGTCCGACTCAAACCACTTCTTTCCAATTTAGCAGGACATGGAGTGTGACCTGCCAAAGCCATTGCTCAGGTAAATACTTGTTTGTGAGAGAATCCTCAGGGAATGAAAACATTTCTCAGCCAAAGGAGTGTAGAAAGTATTTATTCTTACTGATTTTTGAGTCTTAATTTCTATAATGGAATCATAAAGCTTTCTCATCTAGTATATTGATTTATTCTTTTTAAAATCATATGAGCCGTTTGCTAGCTGACTACTGCTTCAGCCCTACCATATTAGAGCAGGTCATTAATGTATTGTGGAAACCAATTTGTGTCTTCACCATCTGTTTGGTGGTTTTGTCTCTTGAAAAAAGATAAAAGCCAGTTGCTGGAGCTTCTCATTGACTCTCTATTCCATGGAGGTTGAACTTAACAGGAAGTCTGGCATATGTTGACTCTTAATTCTGTGCATTAATACAGATTTGAGTACGGTTGCTGACTCCAGCTGCTAAGGAGGTGATGCACAGTAATGAAGTAGAGATGGAGCATAAGCTTTTGTAGAGTGTTCTGGAAATAAGCTGTTACTTTTGGTTGCCTTTTTTCCCTGGGAATAAGAAGCCTTTGCTAATTGCTTATAGGACTTAACAAAAGGAGCAGAGCAATGGATAGAAAGGCAGTGAGAAGGTTGCATTAGAAAGAAACAGGCAGGAAGGAGGAGAAAGCTTCCTGAGCCATCTTCAAGGTGAGCATTCAAGTGAGGGAGACAGGGTGGGTAAGAATTTGGGGTCTTATTTTGGGGCCTTCTATTTATGGGTAAAACAAGAAAAAGCTGTTGGAGTGGAGGCGGTTTGGCATTTCCTAGATAATGTTCACATGCAAGGCTCCACCTAGTCTTTAACACTGGGTTTCATGCTGTAATCATCACCAGGATTTCAGAGAAGTGGAGCAGACACTGTGCTGAGATTTCCTTTTGTCAGCTCCCAGCTCTGAGAAGACCTGTGAGTAGCTCTGTACTTGTTGGGTACGTGCCTGGTCTCAGTAAATGATCTGGGTAGGTAGCAATGGGTCAGATCCATCTGATTGTGATCTTCAGATTAATTTGATCTTGTATCCCCTTCTACATTTAATTTTGGCTTGTCTTTTGTGTTAAAGCTGTGTGTGCCAGGTCCTGCCCTTTGAAGCTGACATGAGCATCGAGGTTTCTGTATCACTGTGTTGAGTGTAAGGTGGTTCTTGTTCGCTTTTCATACCATGATTAATAAGAAAAAAACCGGCTACGTGTGATGCTGGAAGGAAGCAGCAGCTGCCTGCACTGCCCTGATCTACTCATGGAAGTTATTGCTGTTTTATTTGGTTTTGCTTTTGTTTGCCGAAATGCAAATACTGATGGACCTTCTCATAGGCTCTTCAGGCAGCAGCACCCTTTACACCTCTGCCGCTGTGGGTTGCTCTGGGTCTCACTTGCACGTCCCTACCCGCACCTTGGAGGAGCCAAAACTTCGCACCTGGGAGGAAACAAACGCATCAGAAATCGCCTTTCCGCGG